CGGAGGGAGCGGGGGCGGGTAACTGTAATACCATGGGCCATGGGTCTAGCAGTGGGGCGGTACGCGGGACTGTGGCGGGGGTGCAAATACTGACGGCCGTGGCACGCATTATGTAACTGGAGGGTACGCCGCCCGGCCGCCGCCGGCCACCGCCCCGTGCCTCCAGGACCCCTCCAACCCCGCCAACCCCACCGCCCCCGCCACCTCGAACTGTCGCTGGCTGTCGCCAACCATTTGCCGCTCTGCGCTGCGATGTGCGTGCGCCTTGCCCCTCCCCGCGCGGACCCCGGCCGGCGCTAGTGGCGTGTCGTCACTTTGGACACAAACCAGGGAGCCGAGTGTAATGTGCTTTTATTAATCCTGGACGCAAGCCACGCCCGGCGCAGGCCTGGCGGGTGGTGGCCCACATGAGACAGAGACAGGGACTCCACTGCAAGACATTTCGCTGTATAGTATTGAATGCGATTTTGAAATCATTTCTACATTCATTTTTACATGCAGCGTTCATAAATTTGAATCTACCATCTACCAACTACGTACTCATTACCGACGGATTAAACGCAGGGGGAGGAGGAGGGGAGGGGGCTGTGGTCTGGAGAACTGCCTGAAGGGTAGGCAATTTGCAAAACAAACCCCCGAATGTAGGCAACCGACAGTGCAACCCCCCGCCCTCCCGCCGGACCTTCATCCGTTAGAAACTAAGATTTGTTTTAGAATATTCCCCAGGCCGACTAGTGATTCAATATTCTTCTCGTGGTTATAAAAAACTGAAATTCCTAATGATGAGAAAAGAGGTCAAGACGAACGACTGGGGGCACACAGGTAAATCAATTTTGCTGAGTAACGAGAACGGACGTCAACGCCGACCTTAAACTGCTCCCCGGAGAGCGGTCCTCAAGGGGGAACTCGTCGTGGGGAGATTGAAACACAGATCAATAAGCCACGGGACGATTCTCTGGTCTGTCTCTCTCCTTCTACTCCACCTCATCTCATTCCTTTACTCTCCCCCCCTCTCCCCCCTCCATTTCTCTCTCGGGGCAAAGGTGCTCGCCAAGGGGCGTAACTCTTCCGGTCATTTTACGATGGCGTATTTCTCTCTGGCCGCTCTCCTCCGCGCCGTGCGGAGGGCGATGCCCCTAATAACTTCCTGCGGATTAATTTCTCTCTCTCTCTCTCTCGACCTCTCTCTCTTGACCTCTGACCAGCATGAGGGGGGGTAGGAGGGCAGGAGAGAATGTGCCTAGAAAACCTTCGCAACGGCACTCTTCGTCCTGCGCTCCCAACGAAGCAGGTAGAGAGAAAGTGTTTGTGTGTGTGCGTGTGCGTTGTTTAGGAATGGAGGGAGGGTCCCATCCCTCATAGGCCTCCCCTGTGCGTGTATGTACGTGTGTGTACGTCTGTACGCGTGTGTGTGTGTATGTCTGTACGTGTGTGTGTGTGAGTGTGAGTGCTTGCGTTATTGCGGCCCTCTGACCGCAACGGCGTCATCCCATGGCCCAATAAAACGAGTAGACTAGGCGTCGAGCCATCCCCCCTCCTCCCCTTCCCCCCGCCTCTCATCACTCTCACCATTTCCCTGACCTGTCCCCCTTCCCGTCTTCCCCCCTCACCCTCCTCCTCCTGCTTCTCCTCTTTCGCCTTTTGATAAACCAGGGCGAGGCGGCGGTGACGAACGGGAAGCTCATGGGGGGGGGGGGCAAAAAAGACAAAAAGACCGGAAGAGGCTTTGGTGTGTCGCGGGCCGTTACGTAAAAGTTGGGGGTCTTCAGCTTCACCATCACCATCACCGGGGCTCTCGCACCCATAGCAGGGCACAGCGCACTCTCCGTGTCTGACTCCCGAGCGTACCGCTGACTCCCCCCCGCCCCCTAACACAACGCCCCACCCCACTTCTAAAAAAAATTGTTGACAACCAGAACCCATATTATCAGCCTGACTCACGGTTTATGCGACTGGTTGCCACGCGGTTTGTGCGCCACAATCTTTGAACTCGAGATCAATCTGGTTTTCTCGATCACTCCGCTTTTTTATACGACATTTGTTCGAAAAAAGAATAATCAAATCGGAAATGGCGATGCAGAGTGTTGAGGCCGGAGTACACGCTTGTCCTCTTACTGTCGTAATAGTGGGAATTTGCGCCAAGAGTGGGACATCCCACCGTTGCAATGCATGTCACACGGTTGTAGCAGTAAAACAATTGTGTGGCATCACCGTAAAAAAAATAACGTGGTATATGTCACATAGTTTACTTTATGCTCTCCCTGGCAAAAAATACTACAGGAAAGTACATATGCACTTTGCCTAACCCAGGAAGTAAGTCCCCAGCGTATTACAAAATGGTTTCTATAGCAAGATACACCTGGACACCAACGTCACATTACTTCATTGGAGTGCTAGGGATGCGCAAAGTGCCTCGCCGTTCCCTGTTTATGTGAGTATTGCTTGCAAAAACAGAGTAGAATCTGCACATTTACTAACAGATGGACCCGGGTTTGGGGTGGGTGGTGGGTTCCTTTCTTTGCCACATCTACGGCGTGGGCGACTTACCACGGCGACGGAGGCCAGGACGAGGACGGCGACGAGGAGGGCGGCGACGCACTTCATGGTGGCGGCTGGTGAATCGACACGGTCACACTGGTCAGCGCGCGGCCCCGCGTGCCCATATTTATAGACTGATACCGCGGGCCTCGGCCGGGCCTCGGCCCCCGCCACGCCGGGCCATGGGTCCATCCATGGGCTGCTGCACCGTTGTGGCGGTGGACGGTGGCGTCGGTGGCTATCTCTGTCTCACCCGGTGCCTGTCTGTCTCTCTCGCTCTCTGTCTGTCTGTCTGTCTGTCTGTCTGTCTGATTTCCCGTTTATTCATCCCCTCCCCCATCCCCTCCCCCTTTCCTCTTTCATCGTCCACCTCCTGCCAGCCAAGTGTTTGTCATGTCACGACGATATGACGCCTACCCCCACCCCCCTCCATTTCGACCCGACCTATATGTCTGAGAAGTATCCATCCCCCTTCCCCTCCTACTGAATGCCCTCGTGGTGTACCACAAAGCGCAAAACACATGAGCGCTTCCGTGAATTATCATTCAAATTATCTCAACGCGCGTAAAATTCCGAGAAAATGTAGGCATGTAGAGCAATATAAAGTTCCACTGATTCCCTGTAGACACACCCGATGTGATATGAGACATCGAAACGATGTCACATGCAAGAAGGGCAATACAGAATATCGTTTTTGGGCACTCGATGCAGGATCTTCGACGAAAAGGGAAAAAGAAGTCGCGCCGCAATGAGGAAGGAGCCCGAGGAAGATAACGCAGAGCATGTGCACTGACCACTCCAACAGCAGCCGCCGTCCTGTCTGCGGCTGGTCAAAGAGTGCGATTCACAAGTCGTGGAATGTCACACACGTTCAGTGTATCGAACAATGCAAACCTGCAAACATTCAACTTCGGTTTCATTTTAATTTTCACTCCAACACTACGTACTTTACATTCTCTTTGGGGGGGGGGGGGTGCGCTGGTTATCTGCTGGACTACACGGTAAAAAAAAAAAAAAAAACATGTCTGATTTTTTGTGGGAAAGGGGAAAATTTTGAGGAGCTCCCATATTTGAGGGAAAATTCCACAGATTTTGAGTTCTCCCCCAAAAATGTGGGAATTTCCCTTCATTTTTCCGTTTTCCTAAAAAAATAACTCTGGAAACTCAAGTGTGATACAGTCCAACAGTTATAAGTGCAATACCATAAATATCACAGTTAAAACTGTAGTATCATTGTATCATACATGTATCACACTCCAAACTGTAGCACTACGCATGTATCACAGTTCCAACTGTAGTACCAGACTGCACTTTTAAGCGTGATACATGTTTGGTACCACAGTTGGAAGTGTGATACATGTAAGTTACTACGGTTTTAACTGTGATACTCACGGTATTTAACTCATAACTGTTGGACTGTATCACACTTGAGTTTCCAGAGCAGACATTGTTTTACCCTGTAAAATAGGAGTGCGGCCGAGTTCATGGAACTGAGCAGGTCGAGGGGGCATGTCGTGGGGAAAGGGAACAGACGGTCGTTGGTTTACTAATTAAAAAATTACTTGAATAGCTGCTGTTTCTGCTGCCGCAGTCTGTTTCGCGGATTCTCCGCAAGAAGACCGTCGATATCGTTCGTAATTTAAATTCTTCTACTACTATTTCACCCCTCCCGCGAGTTGGCGCTGAAAAGGTGCTGAGGGGCTGGGGATGGTGGCATCCTCCCGACTCATCAACTTTGTTGTACGAGGTTCAACTTCTCTCCTCTCCCCCTCTTCCACCCCTTTCCTCACTTTTCAAATCCCTCAGGCTCACCCTTTTGTGCCCACTAGCCGCTTGCGGGGGCGCAGGAGCGGGGTACTCTTCATATCTCATCGCGTTTTCAGATTTTTGTTTTGTTTCGGCGTGTTAATGAAGGTGTGTCTTTGGGTAAGATCGTGTGCGGGTGCGAATGCAGCCTCCCTCGTTAAAGGAAGGCAAGTTCATGAGAACCTACCAGCTAACAGACGCGTAGGGAACTGTCCAGAAAGTACGTCCGTTTCCCTCAAAATTATTTGGGTGAATTACCGGCGCTCGGCGCCTGCGAGATTCAGGGTAGGCCACCCCGCACTACACGCATGCACTTCATGCGATATATTGCCTACCTACTAGGCGCTATGAGGGCTTGCATTGCTTTACTTGGCAATTTCCTATGACGCCTAGTGACGGACGTACTTTCTCGGTGATTCCTTGTCGAACTTTCGTCATTTAACAATGCGGGGTAACCGACAAGAATATTCTCCAGAACCGTGAGTCACCGATAAAAATGACAAAAACGAAAAGAAAACTCGAAACATTATTGGCGCCCTCGATTCGGACGCTCGTGTTTTTCCGCAAAGACCCCGCTTCAAAGGAAAGAGGCCGGTTGTTTCATTGTTTGCGGTCATTCCCATGATACGGCCCGGGGGCCAGACACTGCGTCGTTCGATACACGCGTGCTCAAGGGGGAAAGGGGGCGCGCTTTTTAAACTCCTAGGCGAGCGATAGAGAAGAAATATTCGCCTGATTCGTTTTCCTCACCTGCCAGCCGGGTGGTACCGCATTGCACTCCACCCTCCACCGCAGCACTGCGGCCGCACGCCTGCAGAGGTGTACGATGGGGTACCTACCCTCCGGCTGACAGGGGTCCGGGAGGAAGGGTAACGGAGTGTGGACGGATTGAAAATACAAAGTTTCACATCACGCGCGGTTTTTTTTTTTGACAGACCCTACGAGAAGAAAGCGTACTCACCCCCCACCCCCTCCCCCCACTCTCCTCTTACCCCTTTTCTTTTTTTATTTGGAGAGTCAGCGAACATTAATTTTTTTAAACGTGACCTGAGAAGTATGCAGTTTTATGTTGTGTGACAGTGACTTATGAGTTTTTAGCACAGGCCACATGTACATTTTTTTTCTTTTGTATGGTGTGTGCTGATGAAGGGGTTGGAAGGTATTTATGGGGTATAGATAAGGGCACGCTGCTTTTGTGGGATTACCTGTGGTCTCTAGTGGGTGCGTAGGGCGGGGAGCCGTCGGTGCCAGGACCGCTGTACTTTACAACGCCGCCCCAGCAGCAGGGGGCCTCGGTCAAGGCGAACGACCCGGCCGGGTAGAAACACCACCACTACTCCCACGACTACCCACTACCTCACCGCCGCCACCACCGAGGCCGACAGCGCGGCCCCGGGCCTTCCTCTGGCACTGCTTGCTCTGCTGCCGGGCGGGTTGTGTCGAATGCCTCTTTCTCACGCCCGGAGCCGCCTTCTCTCGCTCGCTCCCGAGGTGCATTATTGAGGCCCACGCCTGGTCCAGTCACTGCGGTGCGTTGTGGCTGCACGTTGTGGTGGAGCACTGATAAAAAATTGATTCGAACAAGGAGTGCCGCCGTGCCCTCGCCGTCGATTAAAGTGTTAGGTTCGGACTGCTCGGCAGCGGGCCGGACAAAAATACGGCAAGTTGGATCGAACATTTTTAATGAAGCAGATTTACTCTAAGTTAATCTAGTTATCACATGTAGGAGGAGGTGTAAACTTACAAGTATTATTTACCATAGCTTTTTTTTTCAATAGACAACGTGCTCATTCATTCATAGAGAGTTCTTCATTCAAAAATAACAGCTCTTAGATAGATATTTAACAACTATAAATATTTTTTTGGGTTTGTGAAACAGCCACATTGTCTTGCACTTATAAAAAGGAGAATGGAAGACGTTAATTTTTTCAATATTAATAAAACTTCAAGGGTGTTTCTTCCTTTTGACTGTAACCTTGAATTAAAGGTGCAGCCAAGATAAGAGATAATACCACAGAAACAGATCTTTCACTCAATGCATCATGTATGCTAGGTAAGAGTAATAGGCTAATTGTGCCTGACAGCAACTAGTCTCGCAGGAATAATACATCACACACCCCTTTGAGAAAATAACACAAAAATCATCCATGTATCACAATGTGTAACACACTGAACAAAAATGAACAAAAACAAGTCTTGTAAGGATCTATCTTTATAGGAGTGGGGACAGTGAACTCATTTCACAGCTATTGAAATACCTGATTGATTAGTGGAACCACGGTTGAACTGTCTCCAAGAGAGAATACTTCTTCAACCAGTGGCACCTTTTACAATGTTACCAAGTCTCAAGTCAACTAAAAATTTTATTCAGTAAAGAGAAAAGTAGACTTAAAGAAACTGACAAGTAATTTGAGTTTGCCACATCAGTAGACTTTCTAGAGTTACCTCAAAAAAGCAAACTTTTCTGTACGCAATTAAGTACTAGAAACGGAAAAGAAGAAAAAATTATTTACTGGGAGGTAAAACTTTAAAGGTAAACATGAATAACACATAATATTTGAAAACTATTGGCCTATAGAGATCGCACAGTATGTAAATTTGTTTCCCATAACATTAAGAATGCAGACTTTAACATAAATTGGAGCTATCATTGCTCGCTCATTCATTATAGCAACATCATCTTGTTCACATAATTGGGTGACTTGTGCTTCCTTTTTCTTTAACAAAAATAAAAAATATTAGCACTTAGACATACTATTAAAATATGTTAGAAAATACTGATTACTTGACTATCTTACCCCTCTGCTTAAATGTTACTATGGCGACATTATCAGAAATGTTTTAGGCATTTCACAGATTAAGTATGCAATCCAAATGCAATATTTTGGAAAACACATAATAATAATCATGATTAGATCATCAAGATGAATTATTAGTCTAGAAGACAAGCTTGGTCCACTGGTTAATTAACATTAAAAGGAATGCTTCTCTTGGAGTGCTCTTAGTTATTGAAAACCATTATAGAAGCTATAAATTCATGAATTTCTTTGATTTGACAGGAATAGGTAAAATCTGAATTCTCACATTGTCAGATTTGGATCTTCTGGCACCATAATTTTACCTTGGTTTGGATTAGTTTTCCATGACAAATAGGTGTTCCAAAATATAGCAACAGTTTGAACAACTACAACTCGGTACTGCAGAGGAGTAAGATAGAAGTTGAAAAGCTGCACAGCTGGCCACAACTGAAACAAACAAAAAAATCATTGTAAGAACTGATGACATAACTGGGATCATCTTTTAGAAGGATGGTAAATTAATTTGAGGAAATCAAACTATCACAAAAAACCATACCTTATAATTATTGATAAGTACATCCGGGTAAGTAGCAGTTAGCTGTTCTTTAACTTGCACTGCACTTTTCCCCTGAGATAGACCGATAACAGATAGAAGTACAACAATGAATGATGGCGCAAAAATGAGCTGGTCGGCGCACACTTTCTTGACCAGCGCTTTGACCCCAGTTGCACCTAAGTGACGCTCCATGAAACCATACCAGACATGAAGGGTAGGACCCTAAAAAAGAGACAATCCATATTATCTGACAAAAACCTAGAGTTCCAGCAAGGGAGCAAATATTGTTGCAAAATACGTACAACCAGACATACGCCAATAGCTCCAAATCGAGCTATTCTCCCAGCATCCAAATCGAGAAACCTGCGGTTGTCAATGACTGTTTGAGCAACTATGTCTCCTGTTGCCATAAGAAGTCCTGTAAAAGAAAAAACCACAAAAAATACTCTCACTTGAAAAATTCTCCAACAAAAATTGATAGGCAAAATCAACGGAAGGAAAGTTTACTTACCAGTTTGAGCTGCCTGTAAGCTCATGGGGTACTTTTGAACCGCATTTCGGTACAAGCTCAACAACACCCGCATTTTTGTTCTGCTTAACTATAATGGGAAGGTTAACACACTTCTGTAAGGGAAACATCCAAAAGCGACCAAGTTTTAGACAACTATTGGCGATGACACTTCAGCCTCAAGAGGTGACAATAAAGTAACGTTATTCTAAAAGCACGTCAATATCGCAAAAATATAGATGAACAATATTTTCACAAACATTTAACTTACTAGAAAAGGAATGCCGACAGAAATAGAAAACGCACACAAAGCAGACAGCGAAACAAACCGGGCGGGTGGGGGAGCCTACGAATAACTTCAGGCTGGCCACCATCGGAATCAACATGAAGCACAGCATCCAACCTTTTCTCTGTTGTAAGACTAGTGTCCTGCAACATTTTCAGCTTTCAGAAAGTTTTTAACTCATTTTGATATCAAATCATCATTTTATTCGTTCTTTTAGACGTTCTTTATTTCATCTCGTGAACAACTGTTTATACAAATTTCTCATACTTCAGGCCCCGTTCTGACGATGTATCGAAAAGGAAGTGGAGTGAAGAAGAAAAAGGATTCCTCCGACAGCAGTGGAACAAAATCCGTTTCCTTTCTTCAACGTAGCCTTTCAGGTGGGTACCGCACAGGCGGCGTGTTATCCAACAAATATTTAGGTATTTACTTACCATCGCTCATTTAAGAGCATTATTCTGTGTTGCGATTTTAATGCTAGTTTTAACTAATCTTTAAAATTGTACCATATACCCTTCATTAAATTTCTACACCCGGCGGACTTCAGTGACGTGCGTCTGTTTTCGCTCTTCTCTATTTCACATTAGGAAGCCTGGTTTAGTCTCCAGCTTCGTTTAAATTTTAGTCAATAGGTGGGATTGCTTATTCTCCTTTCTCTGGAGAAGCCAGCATTTCAAGCATAGATACTTCAGTTTTTAGTCTAACCTGCGACTGGTTGAACTTAACCTCTAAATTATTGTGTGCTTATGTTTACGGTCGGGGCATGTCTCTTTTTCTAACCCCATGGGCCATTCTCCTGGCTGCCGTTGCCCACACGATCTCACTCCCTTATGGTTCTCCATCAGGTCGCCCCAGTTAATCCGGGGGTTGGCTGTAAGAAGCTGTTCAAAACATGGTGTAATTGTCTGTTTGCAGGATGGGTCGTGTCATTCGCGCCCAGCGTAAGGGTGCTGGGTCGGTCTTCACCGCCCACACCAAGCACCGCAAAGGAGCACCCAAATTACGCTCTCTGGACTACGCAGAGCGACATGGTTACATTAAGGGAGTTGTAAAGGTATGTTTACATTCATGTTATCATGTGCAGGCCCCTAAGTTGTAATTCTATTTTGTGATGCTGATTTGTTGCACTAGTGTATGTGATGAATTCTATTTTACCTACAACTGAGTTGTTGTGAAGACAATTAGAGGCTATTTCTGATATTACAAGTGCATACAATCATAGGACATGTCGATCGATGATGATTTCTTTCATACCTACATCCGAGTAGTATTGAAGACATTTAGAGGCTATTTCTGATGCGATTGTAATGTCCTATTCCTTATACTTGTACGTTATTCATGATGATTTCTTTCAACCTACAACTGACAAGTTGTGAAGACAATTAGAGGCTATTTCTGATAAACTACTCTTTAAAGGGTTAAATATGTAAGCAAGTATTTGGGTGTTAACTGAAATTTCATCTTGATTCTCAGGAAATCATCCACGACCCAGGTAGGGGTGCTCCCCTTGCTGTTGTCCACTTCAGGGATGCCTACAGATTCAAGACCAGGAAAGAGCTGTTCATTGCCCCTGAAGGCATGTACACTGGCCAGTTCCTGTACTGCGGCAAAAAATGTAAGTTCTTGAGTTGTAGGTGGGTTTTATTTTTACAATTTTGTCTATTTCATTTGGTGTAATTCTGTTATATTATTCTTACAGCCAACCTCCAGATCGGTAATGTTATGCCTGTCGGTGGTATGCCTGAAGGTACAATTGTGTGCAATTTGGAGGAGAAGACTGGTGACAGGGGTCGGCTGGCCCGTGCCTCCGGCAACTACGCCACTGTTGTAGCTCACAACCCTGACACCAAGCGCACCCGTGTAAAGTTGCCATCTGGTGCTAAGAAAGTCATCCCCTCGGCCAACAGAGCCATGGTTGGTAAGTATCCTCCCACACAATCATGTCCATGTGTTTGACATGTACCCTTAAGCCTTCCAATGTGCTCGCAGGTATTGTTGCCGGTGGTGGACGTATTGACAAGCCTGTCCTGAAGGCTGGTCGTGCGTACTTCAAGTACAAGGCCAAGCGTAACTGCTGGCCTAAGGTCCGTGGTGTGGCTATGAACCCTGTTGAACATCCCCACGGTGGTGGTAACCATCAACACATTGGTAAAGCTTCCACAGTCAAGCGAGGAACTAGTGCTGGTCGCAAGGTATGTTGCATATATTATTATAATACTGCTATGATGGTTATGACATTTGAAATCCATAATTTTATTGAGGATACCTTAAACTGAGCAGTGTTATTAACATATAATTATAATTGCGCTATGATGGTTATGACATTTGAAATCCAAATTTTGTTGAGGAAAATATACTTGTCTGAGCCTTATGTTTTCTCTCAACCCTCTCTCAGGCTGATCTTGGATGGTGGCTAATTACAATGGTTTCTCTTAATTTTAGGTTGGTCTCATCGCTGCCAGGAGAACTGGTCGTATTCGTGGTGGCAAGACAGACACCAAGAAGGGCGACGATTAGATGCAACGTCCTTATATTATGTAATAAATACCAAAAAAACCAATTTGTATTTTTCCTTTACATTCTGTCCGATTTTATACATTGCCATGAGTTGTGAAGGGAATGTTTCACTAGCAGTTAAGCCTACACTTACCATTCATTTTAGTGCCAACATAGTGGGTTTTCCTCCTAAACTGGAGCCTCAATCTTTGGGTAGAAAAATGGGGGTTATTGATTCTTTGATTCTTATTGCTTCAACACAAACACCTAAGTCAAGAAAAGTGGTGGTACATAGGCGAAATATAAAATCAGATGGAGCAAAGTTGATAATGGAGCTGAATTGAAATGGTCATTGGAACTTCTTTGATGAAAATTATAGAAGCTTTTCATTTTTATTAATTCACTCATTTCGACTTGTCCTGTCTTTTTCATGCATGAGGAAATGAGAAGGAACAATTGTCTTCACTTTCCATTCTAGCTCAATTTTGGTACCTCATATATTTAATGCTTCTTTCACAGCCTAGTTTACTCTACTTGAAAGCTGTCATTCAGAAAAAATGTTTCTGTCAAGCTAGAACTGAAGCTAGGGAGAGAGCGGACAATGGGTACGCCCTTGACCTGTACTCTGGGGAGGTAATTCTGCATGTAAAGCTCTTGGGCTGTGTTTCCAAATGCTGTGAGCATAAACTCATGATAAACTTATGTCCTTAGTTTGCTACAAATTGACCAAATTTTTATTAGAGATAGTGCGTAAAATGTTTATTGTACACAATGAATCATGGTAACATGAACGAAGACTATACAAGTTAGTGCACCAAAAATGAGAAAGACTCTCCAAAGCTGTGCACAAAAAAAGGAAAGGACCTTAGGCAGGCTGTTTGGCCTATACGACAGACAACTGAAAGTGTTCGAAAATTTCTAATTTAGGGGGGGAGACAGACAGAAAAGAAAAAGACCCGTCAGTTTTAATTCGGTCTCTTCTAGAAACATATGCCCAAATGCTAGAAGTTGCTAGAAGTGGACTTTGAATTTGCCGCTCTTAGTACACACCACCACTATGATTCATCCAGCCGTTCAGTCAGTCTTTCTTATTACCACGGATACAAGAGAAAGGTCCATTGTTATGGTTCAACCCCAAAAATCTTGAAAATATTATATTTTTTTACAAATCAGCCTCTATACTGGCTCACATTTGTCCAAAATGGTTCATTTTGTGCACACGCCACTTCATCGCTGAGGACGTCAGGAGTCTTTTGCGTAGTCACTGGGGGCTGTTCGTGATCTTCTCCCGAATTCAATCAACGCCAGTGCTCTTTGTGTGAGAACTTCTTGTAGAAAGGACGCTTTGAAAAGAGCTCCAAGAGTATACGTCTTGATTAATAGTAATATGAGTAATGCACCCTACGAAAATGGATCAGGTCTAGAGCAGCAAGTAAGTATTATTCTTTGAAAATTATTTTATCACGTTAACTAATGTGCTGAAAATGCAGACCGTCAGAGGGGTTACCGAGTAGGCCGTCCACCCCGTGAAACTTCACTTTCTCTTTAAATCAGCTTTACGCTATTTATTTTGCCTCGGTGGATCTTGTTTACGTCAACATTTTGACCGGTGTTTTTAAAATTACTCCGGGTCGTGTTTGCCAAACTTAGTCTTGTTGATTTTGTAATTCATTTAAAGCCACTCAAATGTGTGTCGAAGGCTACGTGTACCCGCAATGGCGGCTCCCACTGTGAGTTGCCTCACTTTTCCAGAGATTTGTGTGACTCATTTTGTTGGACTTTGGTGTAACATTTAATTTGTATTGTAAATATTGGAATTTGTTGATGCCCTTCCTTTAGTTTAGTTGTCTCAGTTTTCTCAGTGGCCTTTCCGAGTTACCATTGATTTTGGTTTGTGAAATGTCAAATTTCTCTCGATCGGCCGGGACCCTGCTCAAGATATTCATGTCTTATTTCCAAGCAGGTCCAGTGTTTTCTCATTCATTCACAGTATCAGTGACTAATAATAGTGAATATTTTGAAAGGTCTTCAATATTTTGTTGTTTATTCTCTCCTTTTGGTGCACAAAAGATTGTGCAATTATCAGATCTAGGTAATTTTTTGCCCTTAGTCTCTAATTTAATATTCTTTGGTTCACAGTTTGCTGGTCTGGACTTGCAGGAGAAACGGACAGCATACGTTCCTCCTCATCTGCGCAATAAACAACTTGGTAAGACTTACTTTTGTGTGTTAGGATCTTTTTACTCCACGCAGTTCTTTTCTGGCTGAGACGATGGATAGACTATTGGGGACGTAATGTGTTACAGTCAGTGATTCTAGCGGGGATCACAGGTCGGACTATTACGACAGTAGGGACCGTGATCGGGATAGGGACCGTGATCGCAAACGAGGTGGTGGCTACCGCAGTAAGTACTTGTGGATGCCCCTCAGCGAGAGTATTTTTTGAGTTGGTTGGCATGTGGCATAGTGGCACGCCGTAATATAGTCCAATGGGTTCTGATTTTATATATTAACTCTAGTCAAAATGCTTTAGATAACTAACATTATGTAGGGCATTTTAAAAACTATTCCTAGATTTACAGTTAATTATCTAATAGTTACTTTATCAACTTTCTAATTGACATATAATTCCTTTAGAACATAATATTACATTTCAGTGTAGCCGCTGATAACCTCAAGCATTCAGTATTTACTGCCAGTACTAATCCAATACTGCAACTAGGTTTTCTTCATTTATTTTATACTTCTATCCATTTAGCAGGTTGCTATGATTTTGAATGTGCATGTTGTGTGGTTGTTCCTGTAAAGGTTCACAACTATTTTTTTATTCTTTATAATATTGGAATATGATTTTGGATATCCAACTAATTAATTAACCTTGCTGCTGTTAATTTTTAGTTTCCCATCACCTAGCCAGGACTCCAATTTGTATATTCAGAGTGTTCCCCTTATTTTTTTTCTACCAAGTGTCATTCATGATTTTATTTGGTAATTTTTTGGTGCTACGAAATAGTCTGCTGAAAATGTATCGACCTCCGGAGCATGTTTGGACTTAGCTCAGGGCTCAAAATTACCATGCATATTTAAGAAAATCGCTCCCAAGATCCCTATCTTCTCTGGACTACATACTTCCAACTTTCATAGCTTTGTAAATCTATGTGCATGTTTAACTTTTGTACTCTACTGCACAAATCTGTGCCTAAACGTTCATTAAAATACAATTCATACATAGCTATGTATAAAGTAAGAGTAAAGATTTAAGAGAAGCAAAGCATGGTAGTAGATGCACATAATTATTTATAAAGCTGAAGACTTGGATGTGTGTGGGCTAGTGCTTTGCACCCTGCTCTCCGTCTACTGCGCTGTGACCGTGTTGCTGACGTTTCTATTCCTTTTCTGTGCAGGCGGCGGGGGCGGCGGAGGTGGAGGAGGTGGTGGCGGCGGCGGCGGAGGCGGAGGTGGGGGCCGTGATTACGGCCGGGACCGCGACCGCGGCGGCCGCTATGAGAACGGCGGCGACGACCGTTGGGGCGACCGCGACCGCGACTCTGGGCGCCGCGATGACTGGGGCCGCGGCGGACGCGGCGGTGGTGGAGGTGGCGGCGGCGGCAGCTGGAACGACCGCCGCGACCGGGACCACGAGCCCCCTCGCGGGAATGACCGCTGGCAGGAGCCGCCCTCGATGGGTGAACGCTCCAGGGACGGCGGTCGCGACGGTGGTCGTGACGGCGGCCGCGACGGTGGCCGAGGAGGCGGACGCGGACGCGGGGAGATTGACTGGACCCAGCCTACGGCCCGCGATGAGCGTCTTGAGCACGAGCTGTTCGGCTCAAGCAACACGGGGATCAACTTTAATAAATATGAGGACATACCCGTGGAGGCGACGGGTGAGAACGCCCCGGCTCACATCAGCTCAGTAAGTTAATAAGCTTGCCCTTGTTACAATACAATTTGTTCTCCCTAAAAATTTTAATCATTTGAATTTTATCTTTTCAGTTTGATGAGGTCAAGATGACAGACATTATCAAGGCCAACATTGCTTTGGCCCGCTATGATAATCCCACACCTGTACAGAAATATGCAATCCCTATAATCATGGGTCAACGTGACTTGATGGCTTGTGCCCAGACTGGTTCAGGAAAAACTGCCGCTTTCTTGGTGCCAGTGTTGAATCAGATGTATGAGCGTGGACCTCAAGAACCACCAAATTCTAGGGTATGTATGGTTCATGACCATGTCTATTATTTTCCTCGCTTCATGCTTGAGACATGTTTCCTTATTACTGGATGACATTGAATACATGCATTTTAATTTTTGTTTATTTAGAGCTACAACCGTCGGAAGCAATTCCCCATGGGGTTGGTTTTGGCCCCTACTAGAGAATTAGCTACTCAGATTTATGATGAAGCCCGCAAGTTTGCCTACCGTTCCCGTATGCGCCCCTGTGTTGTGTGAGTACTGCTTTTGTAAATGAACAGGCTTTCTTTTTCATTAACTTATTCACTAAATAAATCCAAACATTGTCAACAATTTTTTGTTATGCAGTTATGGAGGTGCCAATGTTGGTGATCAAATGAGGGAGTTGGATCGAGGTTGCCACCTCTTGGTTGCAACACCAGGTCGTCTGTGTGACATGCTTGAAAGAGGCAAAATTGGTCTGGAGAACTGCAGATTCCTTGTACTGGATGAGGCTGATCGTATGTTGGACATGGGTTTTGAACCTCAAATTCGCCGCATTGTTGAGAAGAACAACATGCCTGATGTAGGAGAACGTCAAACCCTCATGTTCTCTGCTACTTTCCCTAAAGAAATTCAGGTATGTGTGATTAAGAGAAGCTACCTTTTCTTTACTTTAATTTCCTGTGATTAATCTTGTTCTTTCAAATAGAAATGATTTGTGAAATAATTTATCTATCTGTGTCTTCCCAGATGCTTGCCCGAGACTTCTTGGACAACTACATTTTCTTGGCTGTTGGTCGTGTGGGATCAACTTCTGAGAACATCACTCAGCGTATTGTCTGGGTTGAGGAATATGACAAGCGTGAATTCCTTCTTGACTTGCTAAATTCGTGGAGGGGTGCAGAAAATTGTATGTATTTGAGTGACGTAGGTGCCCTTTTTTATCTTTAATATTTTTTTCACCTAACACAGCAATTTTATTTTCCACTAGGTGAGGAGACATTGACTCTGGTCTTTGTTGAGACTAAGAAAGGTGCTGATTCTCTTGAAGAGTTCCTACACAATGACGGCTATCCCGTTACATCAATCCATGGTGACCGCTCTCAGGCAGAGCGAGAGGATGCCCTGCGCAGTTTCCGCTCTGGCAGAACCCCCATTCTTGTTGCCACTGCTGTAAGTCAACTTTCCCATTGAAGCTTATCCAATTTGCAAGGATGGTTTCTTCAAAAATGTGTAACTTAATTATCTGTCTGTCACCTATAGGTTGCTGCTCGTGGTCTTGACATTCCCCACGTGAAGCACGTCATCAACTTTGACCTGCCTTCTGATGTTGAGGAATATGTCCACCGTATTGGTCGTACCGGCCGTATGGGTAATACTGGACAAGCCACCTCGTTCTTCAATGACAAGAACCGCTCTCTGGTGCGGGATCTTGTTGAGCTCTTGGTAGAAACCAAGCAGGACCTGCCAGAGTGGTTAGACAACATGGCAGCCGATCCTCGCCAATCTTCGGGCGGCCGTCGTGGAGGTGGAAAAGGAGGGTAAGTTCCCGGTGCCCGAGTTACTTATTCAAACAACACTACTAGTAACTGCAATACCATTGCCTCATTTCCTTACCTATTCTTTTCAGACGCTTTGGCGGTGGCGGCTTTGGTGCCAGGGATTACCGTACTCAACCTGGAGGCGGTGGTGCTGGCGGCGCCCGCAGTGGCGGTGGACGCAGCTATGGTGGTAAGCAGCCAGCCGAACTGAAATTTAAGTCCAAACTTCTTGTGTGTGTGCTGATTATATCATATTATATTATCTCGCCTTGTAGGAAACTATGGAGGTGGCGGCGGCGGATATGGAGGCGGCGGCGGCAACTATGGAGGCTCCTACTCCAACAGCGGCGGCGGTGGTGGTGGCGGCGGCGGCGGCACAGACTGGTTCTTCTCCAACTGAAGCGTCCCCCCACTCCTCGCTTAACTACGAATCTTTTAGGTTACTCAGTACCTTGACCAGTTTGACTAATGATGCTTCAACTGTGTGTACTCAATGGGTAAAATTTGTTGTTTCTCTGTAGAAGATGACGTTCTTCTCTTGGTTTGTTGGAGTGCTTTAGGTTATCAGCTTGCATTAGGGAATGTCTTTGATTTGGCACATATCATGCTTACCAGTATTCAGTCATTTGATTGTTGGAATTAAAACAAAAGGAGAACTGGTGGAGAGTGATAATTTATGGTGGTCCAGCCAGTTCTTTTGACAAGAAAATGTAGTGCTGTATTTGGTCAAAGAAAGAACAGTTTGGAAGTGTCCTCATTTCCTCTATCCATACCCTACTCTCGGTACCAAACTGACTAAATATGTATTGTGTTGCCAAACTTTCCTTTCCGCAAGGTGTATAGGTATATCCCATTCTTCTGTACATTTCAAAATTGTCTAATGTTACACTGCACTATTTACAGTTCTCCATTTTTGAAAAATTTTGTTCATTGGCAAAAAATATTTGTACTAAAGCTCTGTTTTCCTGTGCTTCTGCTGATTGTTTGATAACATTTTAGAATGTAGGCTGCTTTTTTTCCTTTTTTAAAGTAATTTGAAAGTGGGGTTCAGTTTCAGGTTGTATCCTGACACTAGAATTAAATTGATATCCTCATATATACATTATTAGGTCATAATTATAATGTCTCACCACATCAAGGCAGGATAATTTGGTCACTTTAATCAAGATCATTTGAGTGCAAAAGACAAAGACATGGTTTACTACTGGATTTTGAATGTTGCACAACATGTCATGTGTAGTTAGGTTTTAGGTCAGTTTGTTTGTTCCACCCTCATGATATATGGTTGATATTATTTTTTTTTTTTTACTGGTTCCCACCAAAGAATTTTTTTACTTAAGTAGCTTATTCTAGATGTTTTCCTATGTGTCTAGGTCACAGGGCTGGTTGCTTTATCTGGGGACCTAGAGCATTGATTCATTTCGTTGATGTGTGCATAGTTCTGGCCTGTTTTAGGGCTGAATCAATATTTTATGAAGGATTCCTTTGTTTTTATGTTTCAAGTTGTTTTACTGTAAAAGGTCACTTGGATTACCTTGGTCCAATGTGCTGTGGATTGTTGATTATTGACTAATTCCACGGCCCATAAGCAGGCTAGAGCTGTCTTCCGAATATGTTTGTGAGCAGCTTTCTTTCTCTGATTGTTGGGAAAGTTTCCTGCCGTGCTATTGTCCTGTACATGGCTACCTCCAATTTTAGTTGGTTGTGGCACATTATTGAGATCAAGTATGTATTTTAGATTCTATTATGTAGACTCCATTTTGTATTTATTCTCCGCTTAGGAGCAATGGTTAAGTTTTCATGTTGTACAGCATTGTACAAAGTCTACATGTCATGAAGCTTCATTTCTTTTTGATGCTATTCATTTCATAGAATGAGTGAGCCTTGTACCAGTTTTAATGCATTGCATTGTGTTTTTTGCCGGTATAAAGCTGCAGTGGTATGTGAACAAACATTCGGAGTAAAGCATGCATTCCAGTCAACCTTTAAAACACCCTTCACTGACATGAATGATGAAACTTAAAATATATTTTGTGCTGCACTTGTATGTTTAATGTCTTCTGCATAGGATCAAGTACATTTCTGTGAGAGTGTGTGTGAGACTACTTGATTTAGACTTTGCTATTTGTGATGTAGTCTGGTGTTGGACCATACTAGACATCTCAGCTGACAGGCTGACGTGGTGGGCAAGTGCAGGTTCTGTGCCCTTAAGCATTTTGCTGTCCCTGTGCAGAGTGTAAACACAAATTGACTTTCTTTCACTGAAACAACCGTGGCTACTTGAGTGGAAAACCGACTCAAGATTTTGCTAGAGCTACTTGTAATGTAGGCTCTTTGTGCTGTGGCTGGTGTGGCAGTATTTTTTGAGCCTTTTTGATGTTAAAGTACTATTACCCTGCATGGATGTAGGGAGTAATAGTGAAAATGTGGCCTGTGAGGCCAGAGCCTATTTGCTGCGGCAACTGTGGACTGTGGCTCAAAGAATAGTGCTAACTGTGGCAGTCTAAGGGAGACTGAATTGCAGTTCATGGACACAGAGAAGACAGTGAACCACACTCTTCTCCGTACTGTATTATTCTCCGTGAAGATGAAGCTAGTCTTGTCTGAAGCTCCGGAGAGATTATTTTTCTCCCCATTCTTCGTTGTTGATTTGTAAGAATTCTTTTAATGATTTGGATTAAACCAAGGAGAACAAATGTATAGAAATTAGGAAGCAACTGTGATAGTGAAGTGATCTGTTGTTTTATATATTTTTTTTTCTTAAGTCCATTTATTGTTGTGCCAGTAGCACTGGCACAATTGTAACAAATGAGCCAAATTAACAGAATCATTGAACTCCAATTTTGCAGATATATAAAACAAACGATCCAGAGCCCTCACTTTGAATTTATTAAAGCACTAAGATTTTATTTCGTCAGAGGGTTCCTGACTTGTAAAGGAATTTGTAAGTGTTTTATGAGAACCCTTATATATTGCTAAGAAATATGCCAATGTTGGCAATGTTAGAAGCAAGTCAACTTGTTAGAGAGGTATTTCATTTATCTATTTATTCTGTTGATTCACTGAGACAAAACTACCTTATTTATTGTCCTTGTGATGGCATACCTGCAGTGTGCAGTCATTTGAACTTGAGTATATTCTTGTAATGCAAGGTAGGAGAAGCATATGAAGCTGTGATAGTAACTTTTAACTGTTTTGTATGCATTGCTTAACACAATTGAAAGCAGACATTTGGACATGTCTGTAAGTTTACACGGATATACTGGTTCAAATGAATCAAGTTAGATCATTCTTTATCTATTTCCTTCCACAGAACCTCATCCTTTCAACTGTGAAAGTGTTCTGGGTCGTGTTCTGCTGTGCCCTCAGCATTCAAGAATCATTTTAAAAGAATCTATTCTTTGCAGCAGGTATAAATGAATTGAAAAGTACCTTTGGAATAGTTTCAAAATATTTTCTTTTTTTTTTATTTACGAAAGTATTGTATATCTGTGTGGAGGGTGTGTAACAGTGTGGTAACTTGTTATGACAGCGGAGATATTTCCTGTGACTGCAAGTCAGTTCAAGTCAAGAGTCTACTGTTTTTTCAAACAGTGTGTGTAACATGGTATGACATAAGGGATGGCAAAAGAAAAAAATAAATATATCAGCAATCATACACTCTAAAATTGTTAACTTTCATCAGTTTCCCTTCCCCAGCAGTAGTGGTTGGTTGAAAAAATACAGTTCATTAGGAATCCAAGTTTTTATTGGCAAATTCTAGAATCAAGTCCATTTTACGGGAATAATTTAATCAATAAATAATAAATACGCACTCGGTGATGTGGATTGAATCAACAGCCGGCTATAAAATTACTGTAACAAGAAAAAAAAAAAACAATTAGCACGATTCATAATGAAGCATTGTTTTAAAAACTTTCTCTTTGAAATAAAAAGGTAATAGCCGTTTCTTTACATCATAGTTAAGAATTTTAAGTATAGTATCCACCCAGCCACTATTATTTACAGTTTTGCAAAGTATCTCAATAAGCCAGGATGCCAAAAGATATTTCCCCAGTTTCAAAAAGTTCTCTTATGCTCCTACAACACTAATACGGTTGCAAAAACAAAACTGCAGTATGGGAGATATTTTTTTGAAATAATGGAAAAAGGGGAGAAATATTTGTCTGCACCCGCAGTCTCCCAAATCTTGGACCAATCAGAAATGGCCTTTGACGAGCGTCTCCAGGCCTCTGATTGGCCGAGGCTTTGTGATGATGATCCGAGAGCAGACGATACTCCCCTTTCTTTACAAAACACCCTTTTCATCAGTGTCGTCGTGAGGGGACCTGACGGACGACGTGTCGTGTCGCGCTCATAGTCTCACCTGTCGCGAAGTGACGACTCAGTACTCCTCGCTGTCCTCGTGGATGTGGACGGTGTCCTGGCAGGCGTAGCCGCAGCTGGTTGGGCAGCACTTCTGGTGGCTGGCGCAGACCTTGTCGTGGATGCACAAGTTGCCACACAGCGATGGCTCGCCGACGAACTGGCCGCGGGCGAGGCCGGCGATGTGGTGAGGAGGAGCCTGGGACAGGTCGGGCACCAGGCGGCGGATGTGCGGGCAGAGACCGGGTCGGCCTGTGGCGAAGGAGAGAGGTAAGTCAGTAAAACTTGTAAGAGGCATATGTAAAACCTGAAATCTGGACGCAAGACAAAGTTACACCCCCCTCCTCTCCCCCCCC